AAGCAGCTGTGAGATTGTACGCTTCGCCATTTCTATCGGTGATAACCAAGAGGGAGTCACAGTATGGCGCTGTGGTCAGCCGGCCGGAGGTGCCGCTCACAGTTTTGGCTTTGTCCTTTTTGCTGCCCTGCCGGGTGCGCTGCAATCCGTCATGGATCTTCCGATGGGATGCTTGTGACAAGGTCCTTAGGTTGTTGTTTTGTGTTTCGTGGTTGGATTTTTCCGAATTGAACCACAAAATAGTCACTTTTCGCGGATCTGAAAACGGACAGCCCGGTTGTTTGAGCCTCTAAAAGGGAAGCCAAAAAGCAGAGAAGCCCAACATCTGGGTAAGACATGCCTTGCGGCTTCGGCACAGTGCTGCACAGTTCTGAGAGCCCGATGCGTTCTCGGCAACATTTCTTGGGTTGGGCCTTTGAGCGTTGGGGAAAATATGGTTCAGAAGTCAAGACTTCTAAACAAGGATACCCCCAAAAATATGTAGCCCCCTGGGTCAGCTGTTTGAAATCAAACAAGCAACAGCTAGTTGCATGCAAGAGTGACCACGTGCTTCTGGGTAGGTGCGCCTGCAATGACCCACATACATATTGGGTACAAAGCATGTCCGTGGTAGGCCACCCAAAGGAGTCACATGCATCGGGAAAGCCTGACGAAAGAAATCGCATGAAGGGTTGCAAACACAAGTAGCCAGCGTTTGAGGGTACCCTTTTGAAGGCTTGTTCCAAGGGGAACCACCCGAAGCATCACTGGATCTCCATGATGGGTAGGACCTCCATTTAAAGCCTTTGAGCCTCCAAAAGAAAGCTTGTGAGGTTTCCAGATTTTTTTTGAGCCAAGAATATGGCAGCCATGCCCACCATGGCACGCTTCAGGGCAGGGTACTTTGATCAGGTTTCACCGATGCCAGCTCTCCGTCCATGCCCATCTACTGCGCCTGGGACCCTGAGAGTTTGCGGCAACGGGCTTGAGAGTACCGCAACCAGCGGTCCCCCTTTTTTCTCAAAGGGGAAAGGGGAGTGGGGATGTTTTTTTTTTTTTTTAAATAAAAACCCGTACCGCATGTCAAGAACATAATACACACGCAGGATGAAGGGTGTTCGTGGACTGGCAGGACCTCAGGACACGCTTCGAACGTGACGGCAGACCTGGGGCTCCCACTGGAGATGTCTATCTTGCAGAGCCTCACCCTTTGGCCCAATGCCTCAAGCCTGAAACAAGTTTCAACAGATTCTCACTTTCTGAGTGCATGACTTGAAACTTTTTGGAAAGACCATTTTAGTGGCAAATAAACAGTTCAGACTTTGTTTTGGCAGTCCACTCGGGAAGTGAGCATTCAACCCAAAGCCTCGGAAAAGACCCTAACTACATAGGGGTCAGGCCCTTCATTGGAAGGTTGTGTTCTCGGGGGGTTGAGGTCCTAAGATTCTTAGGGTGGTTGGCAAACAATCGAGTCGACCTCGCAAAGAGACCAAGTACGTTCTTACGGATGGTCTGAATCCACAAACCGCACCAATTTGATGGCTTGTTGGGGGAATTGGGCGACAGATCAAGGAATCTGAGAACGCAGAGCCGTTCATGTCTCGATGAACTTGTTGGCCAGCCCGGGTCCAAACACCCCATATTTCCCAAGTGTCCCATCACTTCCCCATATCTCCAGTGCTTCCCCATGTGTTTCATGTATTTTGCTTTACTTTCCCATATTCCTTCTATTTAAGTCCCCAGGTTTCCACGTGTTGTTCTTCTTCATGTGTTTCCTTTATGTCCCCATGAATTCAGGCATTTCCCTTTTGCCTCCCCGTGTTTGTCCTTTACGGCCCGATGTCTCCATGCATTGCACTTTACTTCCCCTGTTTCTCCTGCGTGTTTCCATGGGTTATCCTTTACTTCCCCTATAAAAGTATACTTCTTCTTTACGCCCTCATGTTTCCATGTGTTTCCTCTGCTCCCTCATGTTTCTCCTTCACAGCCCCATGTTTCCATGTATTTCATGTTTCTTCCCATATGTCTTTCTTGCTTCCCCATATTGATCCTTTACGCTCCATGTAATCATGAGTTTTCCTTCATTACTCTCCATATAATCATGAGTTTTCCTTCACTTCCGAACCTTCTTGGTAAATCAGAAGTTCCGAACCTTTTTTCGGCGAAGCAAGTTCGGACGTGAGGACAGGCGAGCTTCGTAGCTCACGAGTTCCGAAGCCTTTTGCGCGCGAAGCCACGCGATGAGGTCGCTCCCGTGACCAACGCCGCTGGCAGCCTGAAGCGCCCGGGGCCCTGAAGTCCAGACCCGGACCGATTCCGCGAAACCCCGAAAGGTCGGGTTCCATGTTAAATTGGTGGGAGGGATAAACCTTGAACAACATGTGTTGATTTGCGGGCATTTCATAATAAATTTACAAATTGATGTAACACCACATTCCTAACATAACACCATTCACATGGCGCATTTCCTTTTGCAGCGGTTCTGTTGGTTTGCGGCTGATGTTCTGCCAATCGGGGGGAATTCTTGCAATGCATTTCGGCAGACATTTGCGCCGCAGGAGGTTCTAGGTATTGGAACTAATTTGGCCAACTTTGATGTGGGTGTCCCTTTCAGGGTTGTTTTGTTTTCTTCTTTTTGTTGTTAGGCAAAACCAATTGTAAACCACCCAGAACAATTTCCTGTTTTGACTTGGCTACTCTCTTACCTTCATGTTTTGTTGTGTTTGTATAACTATTTACATCTAGTAGATCAATGGTTGAAATCCGTTCTTGTGGTTTCTGTTTAATCTTGGATAGGTGGCGAATTTCCTGTAAACAACGTTCTATCTTATGGTCGTATCTTGACATGTATGATAGTTATTATGGTCTTACTAAATCTTTAGAATATAACATTTCACGCGGATGATGTTTTTCCCCCAGGACACCTGACCAAGGGGCAATGGCCAATAAATATTTTTCCGTTTCAGCACCTGATGGACGAATCCTCGCAGTTGAGCTTGGTGGTTCGCACAGGGAACCACAAGGCGATCCCCAAGCATATTTTGTGTATTCGGCCAGCACCTGGGTCCCAACTTTATGCCTTTTGGACACCAAGGGGATTTTGGACATGGTTGAAAACGCAGAACTGTTGCGGGGTGCTGGACGAGATATGGAACAGAGTCAGTCCCTTTGCGCCCCTTTTTCGGGGCCACCCAAAAGGAGGTGCCTCTAAAGTGGTCTTCGGGTTTCATGATTTGGTCAGCTGGGTTGGAGTGTTGGATTGCCGCGTGCATCGCCCAATGGTTGATGAACCGAGTCCGACGGATTGCACAGCCAGCTGTTTAGGCGTTTCTGGCAGCGGTGTGAGAGTTGGCCACGCTGAAATTTCGAAGTCGATTTCGAAGTCCGAAGCGGCAATGTCGCTTCACACTACGAGTTTGCTGTTTGTGAAAGAGATGGCGATGAAAAAGTGTTCATTCTCTATTACTGGCAATGTCATCCATGTCTCTTCCACTGAGCTCGAGCCAGAAGTTCTAGTCACTCAGTCTCAATGGGGCCATTTATCAACGAATGATGACGTATCGGCATCTCTCAAGTTCACAGCCCACGAGATCCTGTGGGCAAGTTTTTTTTTGGGGGTTGGTACCAAGGGGAACCACCAAGGAACACCAGGCATTTTTAGGGCAACCCTGCAACAAGACACACCCAAATTTGTTCGTAGACTTCCATTTGCTGACATAAATATGAATTATGTCCCCTTGAGGTGGTGTTATGGGGAATCTATCACTACTGCAAAAATATGTAGTTTCTATTGTTTCCAGTGGACTTAAGCAAATGCAAAGAATACCAGGCATTTTTTGTGCTACCCTACAAAAAAAGACACGCCCATGGTTGCTCCTTGAATCTCCCGAGGCATTGAGTACTGGGCTGCTGGCATCAACTGTTGCGGCCAGAACAAGCCCTTCACGTGGGGGTCCCCGGCCAGGTTCCGAACAAACTTGCTGGTGCGATAGGGAATGTGGAAATGAACCTGGGGTCCCTGTAAAGGAAACCAGAAGGGATTGTATATAACTACCACAAGGGATGGTTTGCAAGGGTCCAGCAACTATGAGCCCCTGAAACTGTGGATGTCATCAGTGGTTCGGATGATCTGCCTTTCAGAGTGGTCGCGAGTGACAGCTCTTTTGTAGCCGTGGCTTTATTCATAGCTGTTGAACTCTTGCCGAGCTCACTCCGTAGAACAGCTCCCATGAAAAGCTTAGAGCCCCGTTGCTGGCTATGGGATTCCCCATGGTGCAACAAGCCTTCCTTGAAGTACAACTCATGGCTGGTGCTTTATTCCCCTCAAAGCCGGCATTGCATCTCTCCAAACCTCACCCAGTCGGGGTGCCATAGGGAAAGCAGCTTCCTTGTTTCTTTTTTGGAGCTGAGCACTTGTCGCACAAAATGTCTAACGCCCGGTGGTTTGCTTAAACCTCAATGTGTGCGTGCGTCTTTTTTAAGTGTAGTCCGGGTACCCCGTGACCATTTTGTTAGTCCGGGATCGAGGCCGAGGGAAGGTCACCCATCTTTCTCGATTGTTGCAATTGGGCGACAGGACAAGTATCAATTGATGCCAAAACTCGACCATGGCCTCAGATGAACTTGGATAGGGAACCTGATGATCTGTTTTTGGTTGCACGGGTGAAACACAACGTATAGGAAGTGGAATGAATACAACCCTCAGCATCAGTGCCGAGTTGTTTCAGCTACGGAGCATGTGCATCAAGGGTTGTTGGGGGGCTTCGCATGTCACCTTTGTGGTATTTTCTAGAGTTCAGTATTTGACGTCACCTTTCTGGTATCCCCTTGCCGTCACCTTCTTGGTATCAAGGATTTGGACTCGCAGGGTTCCCTACAGTTCCCCATGCCCAATGACAAAAAACACTTTCAGAAGGCGCGAAATGTCCGGGACTTTGTGACCATAGTCCACTTGATGCGTGAGTTTGGTGAAAAAAAACGATGAGTTCCACCTGGTTTAGGTTTTTGTTTTTGCATTTGCCAAGACCATCTATGTTTCCAAAATGACTCCTATGTTTGTGACACTCTCTGAGAGAGGCTTCGACCCGAACTCCCCCTGGAAAACTGGATGGACCAATTCCTGCTCAATCTGAAGATTCGGCCCTTCGGGTTCGAGAATTTGTGAACATCAAACTCACATGGAACCCACTTTTGTCCCCCAAACAGTTTCCTCTAAGTGTGGTTTTGTGTTGCTTCCATGTTAATCTCTCTACTGCTATTGGGTTGGATCTTTAGACTTTAACCTTTTGGATTCCCCTTTTTTTTTCCTTTGAACCAGCAAAACGTTTAACTTTTTGCCGGGGGATCTACAGCACCCAAGATCTGGAGAGTTCGCTTGGATTGAAGTACTGTTTGCCCGGTTACCTCACTTCCAGTCCTGAAGCCCAGGAAATCAAGGGTCAGTGACGAAAACCGGGCACCATATTATGAAATGGCGGTGGCTCAAAATGAAACGATCGGAGGGGCTGGCTCCGCAGGGTTTGGGTAACCCGTGGAAATCCACTTACCAGGGCTTGCCCCATTTTGGAATTCCGGTTTTCTGAGGTCACAGCCAAGTATGCAAACAAAAACACACGTTTCAAAAAAAGCCTCGTCGTTAGGGGACCCCATCTCTGGTTTGAACAAATCTTGGCCGGCAAACTGCACCTTGCAACGCCAGCAAAAGCAAAAGGGACGATCCCAAGATGCGGATCTTCCCTTGTGACTCCTTGGCGCTGGGGTCGACCAAGAAAAGTGTTCAAGCCTTCTATGCCAAAAGGAACTCCCTGGGTTTGGTTGGTCCCAATGGTGTTCAACTAAGCATTGACGTCTTCCTAGGTGCCGGGGGACATGGAAACTCACTTATGTTTCAAATAGGAAACTAAGACATGGCGACTTTCAGCTCGGAAACTAAGTAAGTTACTTCAGGAGTCTGCATGACCCTTTAAAAGTGGCCCTTTATTTTGGGTACTGACCAACCATAGTTTTTAGGGTGGAGACTAGGGATATCTCTCAACATAAGCCATGACTTTGATTCAACTCGACCTGTTAGGTGCCGGGAGGCCCAGGACCCCAACGCCCATGGGGGTCTGCTGCTGTCGCCCACAAAACAGGCAGGCAGCCGAAGCTGAAATTTTGGGCTCGGCTGTCCGTTTTCGATCGTCCCAACCAAGCTGAACATTTGCTGGTGCAATAGGTAGTAGGGAATGACCCTTCTGGGTCGGAATGAACCGCCTTGGGGGACCTCACAATTTTTGTCCCCCACCAAACCCATGGACCGCACGAACGAGGCAACTCATGTCAAAACCATCGCACTAGTTTGTGTTGTTCTTTTTCTTCCAGCGTGGACACAGGGCATGACTTTTTTGTTCTGTCCGAATCCCCCCCTTAATTGTTCAGGCAACTGGGTTTCTGTTGGCCCTGGAAGTGGAAAGACCAATTGCGCACTTGCAAGTGGTGGGCCTCTGGCTTCAGCTGCTGTTCATGCTCTTGGCTTTTAGGTTGATTCTTGCAGCGTGTTTTGTTGGCCTCTCAAGCCAAAACAAACCCCGCTGCAGGTTGATCTCCTAGAAGTCTTTGAGCGTGTCTCTCGCAACAGGGAAAGAACATGCCCCCAGCGGACAGCAAACAGTGAGGTGCGTATCGCGCATAAAGACTAATATAAGATACTTACCTATACATTTGATATAATAGATACAATAGATACACGTAGTAATACACTTTTTTACGGTATATTTGATGAAATAGATACTTACCTATACTCGTACTGTATGCGTGCATCTAGATGCATGTAAAGCAACGACTCGAGCATGCATATGTGCAGGCTATAGGCCTCATGGGTTGCCTTGATGCAGGCAATGATCGACGGACCTCCCACTTGACAAACAACAACTTTAGGCTGCTGTGGGCACTTGGGAACTGAGCAGTAGTTGTTTAGTCACAGGGGTGGCCACTTAAGCTTATTTAGAAGAAGCACACTGGTTGAGTTAGCTGCATGCTCGGGGTCAGTTGCCACCAGGTCAGTCCCTTTGTCCCTCAGTTGTTCGGCAGGGCGGCCCAGCGAAGAAGTTCTTTCAGAACGCCATGAAGGGAGCCAGGGACAAGTACGGCCTCATCGAGCCTTGGCTGAGTCTGGGACCTTGTTTGGTCGTTGTTTACATCACAAGGTTCACTAAACTTGGCGGTGTCCAGTCATCCCTTTAGTTTTTTAGTTTTTTTTTTTTTTTTTTTTTTAATATATATATATATATATATCTGTTGTTTAGTAAGGATTTCCATTTAACCCACACAAGTTGAACTTTTAGTGGGGGAGCTGAGGATAGCCCGGTAAATTGTAAACGCTTCGCGTTGCCCGCCTCGGCCCAGCCTAGTTTGAGGGAAGGGTCAGGAACACCGAAATCCAGTGTTGGGAAGGTCCGAATACCTGAAGCTGGCTCCAGACAAGTCAGACAAGCCGGCCTCGCCTGGTTGGGCTGGGCCACAGGCTAGTCTCAGACACATCAGATAAGCCTGCGCTGGGCCTGAAGCTAGTCTCGGGCAGCTTGGCTGGACCTTGCTTGCGTGGGTTGTTGGTTGAGCTGAAGCTAGTTTACGGCGGGCTGGGCAGCCGCACTGAGGGGGCTGGGCTATGGCTGGGCTGGGCCTGAGGCCAGTTTCAGACACGTCAGACAGGCCTGGCCAGCAGGCGGACTGGGCTGGGCTAGACGCTAGTTGAGCCCAGGCTGGTGAGGCCCAGTCTCGGCGCTAGATAGGCTGAGGCCTGCGAGTCTCAAACCGGGTGGGCTTGGGTGGGGTTGGCTTAGGCGGGTTGCTGGTTGGGCTGGGCCTGAAGCTAGTCTCAGCCACGAGGCTGCGAAGCCATGGGTGGTGCTGGGCAGCTGGATTATGGTGTTGGTTGCGCCTGGATGGGCTGAGCTGTGCTTGGGCGGGTCGCTGGATGGGCTGAGGCTGGGTAGCGAGTTGCTGGCTAGGCTGGGCCTGAGGCCAGTCGCAGACACGTAAGACACGCCAGCAGGCGGGCTGAGGGACTGGGCCTGAGGCTAGTCTCAGGCTGGCGTACCTTGAGACCAGTCTCAGACTGCACCGAAGGGGCCTGGTCAGCCTGGGCTGCTGAGTAGCTGGCATAGCTTGAGACCAGTCTCAGACACGTGAGACTGGTCGTTTGGGCTGGGCCTGAGCCTAGTCTCAGACACGTCAGGCAGGCCTGGCCACCAGGACAAAAAGCAATTTTTTAGTGATTTTCAGACAAAAATGGACGCCGACGAACCCCGAAAATTTCAAGGCCCGCCGGACAGGATTTTGGGTCCAGCCGACATGGGTGGGGGGGGGGGGGGGGGCGGCCCGGCAAAATTTTGGTCGGAGGGGGTTGGGGGAGGGGAAAAGCGAAGATTCTCTTTGGAGAAGAGATCTGAGCGCCCTTGGCCCCTTTGGGGCCGAGGCGAATATGGACCGGAAACAAACATGCTACTGTTGGTTGAGAGGCAAAAGGCGGTAGATGTGTCGGACAGACGTTTGGGTTAGGTCCACCGCCCACCCACCTGAGTTGAAGCACAATTTAAAACAACCGCTTGGCCAGGATCCTGGCTGCACAAGATACACAGAAAGCCAAAAGGCCGGTGTCTTCCTTTACAAGGGGATCAAGCACAAACCTGACAAAGCCGCTTGGGAATCGCGTGCAGTTTAGGCGGGTTTGTGTGTGTTGCGGGTATCTTTCTCCAGCTCCTTCTGTTGATCGAACAATCACGACCTTCTTGGATTCAGTTGCAGGCCGTTGTGGTCCTAGAAAAGCCGCTTGTTGCTGTCCCGATGCTCGCAGTCACTTGAGCGGATCACCCACCCACAGCACCGTGACCCAAGTGGCCCAGCGGTGCCCATTTTCTCCTTTTTTTGGGGGTTCCCCTTTAAAGTCAACCAACCAAAAAAAACGGATGCCCTGTTCTCTACATGAAATCCACAATTTGAGGGTCCGACAAAAAAGGAACATCTGGCTAGGGCGTATTGTGTTTTTCTTGTTTTCATATTAGCGGGAGCTTCCCCAGAACGCCAGTGTCTTTTCCGCAGGGTGTACCAGCAAACAAGCAAACAAGCAAACAAACAAACACACACACACACAAACACGCAACCAAACAAAGACAAGCGAAAGAACGAATGGACGAACCAACGCTGACTCCATCGTGTTTGACAGACCAAGCAAACAGTTCAGGTTGAAACATTGTTCACACAAACAATGAAAACACACACAGAGAAACACAGCAACAAGCAATCAGCAATCAATCAAACAAACAAACAAAAACAAACAAGCAAGCAAGCAAGCAAACAAACAAGCAAACAAACAAACAAACAAACAAACAAAACAAAACAAACCACAAACAAACAAACAGACAGACAGACAGACAAACAAACAACCAAACAAACAAAGAAACAATCAAACAAACAAACAAACAATCAATCAATCAAAAAATCAAACAATCAAACAATCAAACAATCAAACAAACAAACAAACAAACAAACAAACAAACAAACAAACACACAAACACACAAAGAAATCACACAGAGAAACACAACAACAAGCAACCAGCAATCAAACAAACAAACACACAAACAAACAAGCAAGCAAGCAAGCAAGCAAGCAAACAAACACACACACACACAAACAAACAAACAAACACACAGACAAACAAACAAGCAACACAATTCTGTTTCGCAGCTACGCGTCAGAGCCGGTGACTACTCCAGAACCGGCACTCCACCATGAGGCTCCACCCGGATTCGTCTAACTCCATTGTGTTTGATAGACAAAGCAAACAGTTCAAATTGAACCAGACACACACACACTCGCGCGCACAACCACCCACCCACCCGCCCGCCCGCCCGCCCGCCCACCCACCCACCCACCCACCGGTGAAGCCACCCTTTTGTCAAGGCGGGCAACGACTACCTGCTGCTGGACTGGGTGGCGAAGCCCATCGCGTTTAGGCCCGAGCTGGCGGCTGGCGCTGGGTAGCCGGAAAGCCCAAAGAGGTATCCCCCGATGACCCGATTTTCTCCGGCTGGGTGAAGAGAAAAAACCTTCTGGGGGCTGACTTTCAAAAGGGGACCCCCAATTGTGTGGCTTTCCATCTGAGTAGCGGTGTTTTTTTGCGCCGACCCTTCTGCGGCGCAAAGGTTGAAACATTTCGAATGAGAAGGGAAAAAACACACCACTCATCTAAAAACAACCCAAAGGGGCGTTCCCCGAAAATGAGACACGCCCATGTGAAGGGTTTGACCAAATGACCAGAATTCAGATCCCAACAGACGGGAACCTGCCTGAAGCTCTCCAGTGTACCGCAATCAAGAAGTGCCAGGAACGCTTTTATTTCTTCGCCTCCCAAGTTTCTAGTCGAAAACATGATTGTTTTTGCGGCTGAGCATTGTAGATTCCAATGGAAAGGCCTGACCCCCTAGCAACTGCCAACTGGGTGTAGAGTGCTTTAATTTCTTTGACTTGTGCGGGCTTTGGCGCAAACATTCCCCTAATGTGTGCAAGGAAGAACTTGGCGAAAGGACTTTCTCGGCTGGAATGTCTGCGGGTTGGGGGGCTTTAAAAGGCGAAATCAATGTACAGTAGACCGTTGCTTCCCGTTTGCCCCGGAGGGGGGGGGTAAAGGGTGACTGAAAATATATTACAGTGTGGCTTGTCTCATTCATCAAGGCTGGCTCTAGATCCACAGAATGTGGCAAGCAGAAGTGGCAGGGCTCGGCACTGCGGGTTTGTCTCCAAACCGGGGAAACTTCAAAATGGGCAGTTCCCTTTGCGTTCCTTTTGGCAACCAAAGGGTCCTCAAAAAGCAAGCCCAATGGTTGCCACGGGAGAGCACCATTTGGTATTTCTATGAATGTGCAGTATGCTCACGAAGGGCATGACTTGTTGCCAGCCTTGCTTCAAATATCCCGAAAAGGCTTCTGGTTGAAGCCAGCGTTGTTCTTGCTGCATCGACGACGGTCAACCCAAGAGAATCACCCAAGGAAGCAGAGCCGGTCCGCCAAACTTTGATCCATGGATGATGCTTAGAGATGAGATCGAGAGAGTCACAGAGAGAGCGAGAGAGAGAGATAGAAAAGGAAAAACACGAACAGCAAGCAATTAACGAGAAGGGAAAAAAGAGAGAGAGAGAAAGAGAGCAACAGAAAGAGAAGGAGAGAGACAGAGAGAGAGAGAGAGGGAGAACCAAAGATAAAGAGACAGAGAGAGTGCGATTCAACGCCGGAGCCCTCATTGTGATACCATCTGCGCAACACAAAAGCACGTGGCCGACACCCAAATTCCAACGGTTTCAATTAATCACACTTGCTGTTGTTTTCAGAGGACCAGTCAAGCACTGCCATAAGCACCTACAAGCGTCAGCAGAACATATGGTGCAGGACAAGTTGACCCCATGGTGTTCATTCAAACGGGTGTGGCTCAAAATTTGAAGAGCTAGGGTTGCGCAGGTTTAGTCTTTGGCTCCATCTGCCAAGGTGCCATTTTGGTACATGCTTTTGAGCCACAGCCAAATGACCCTTTCTCAGGATGTTTCGCTCGCAGGGACGACCTTTGGCACAACACATGGAAGCTCTTTGCGGTCTTTGCCGGCGTGTGCGCCGGAGGTGTTTCTTTTCTCCCCCCCCCCCCCAAGAAGCCACGGTCCGCTGGAAAAGATGAGATACCTGCTGACGCACCCACGTTTTTTTTGGTTTAATCCAAGTGACGTGGTTGCAGTTTGCAATTGTTTGCGGCGGCAGATACAGCATCCTGAAACGGCATCAATGTCGCAGCATTGTCGGCATAGTGGCACTAGGGTGAAAGTGGATGCTATTATATCTCTTAAGGTCATTATACGAGGGGGGCGGCCAACCGGATTGCAGAATCCCGGCCCAGGTCGACATTCCCTAACCCCTGGAATTGTCCCTTCCTTTTCTTGTTTTAGTGGTTTGAACATCACCTTTTAGGTCCGTTTTACTCAGGACTTGTCTTTGGCATGATGTTAGTTGACATAAGGAACCATCCGTATTGGTCAATGAGGCTGGTCACGAGAGTGATCTTGCGATTGCATGCACGTCACGAGTTAAGTGCTGATTGCGGCTGAGCAAACGCGGTGACTATCCAGGCAAATTCTGATTGCAACCACCATTGGTCCCCATCCAAAGCTCACTTGGGCTGAATGACGCTCATCATTTTGTGGTGAAGGTTTAGGGTTTTGAGTGCAGGTGGGTTTTGAGTGTAGTGTTTGAGGATGAACATTACTCCTCTACAGTTTCACGTGGAGTCAAAACACCCACCATGTTTAGAGGAGGCTTTTTTTGGAAATCCGTTTTTGGGCTCCTCGTTAATTTGTAGGTAAGTATGTGTTTTGTGTTGTCAATTTCGACGACTGCACCATCTTCGTAAGACACCCGATCTTACGTGCCATCAATTTGAACCTTCGTATGCCGTATACCTCGTGCAGGACTATTCTGGCAACTCATGCTTGCCAAAGCATATTCCATCCATTTTACGTCAGCTGCTTGCATGTCCTCCATTGCTGTTGGATGCCCCCGGGTGTGGCCCCCCTGTCTCCTATGGGTCTGCACATTGTCTATCAGGACCCTGCATACCGTTTAGCATTCCCCCAAAACTTTGGTGCATTTTACTTGGATGTTAGGACTTTAACTTTTTGCCAACCAATGGGTTTTTCGTATTAAATCACTAAAAGTTAAACTTTTAGCAGGGGAGCAGAAAGCAACCAACAACAATAAACCCGAAAATGTGTTTTTTCATGGGAGGCTTGGGTCAGCTCACAAGCTACTCCGCAAGTCAACATTGACATGGATCCCCAACAGAGCATCCCCCCAAAAAAGGGAGCTTCTAGTCCATACAAGATGGTTTTTGGGCTTCATGTTTTTTGTTTTTTTAGGGGTTTCATGTTTTTGGGTTTCATGTAAGCTTACAGTTTTAGGTGGCAAACCCCAGAACATGCAAAGCACATTTTCGGACTCCCCCCCCTTAACGGAGTGGGGATGAGAGTTTGTTGCAGGCTTCCTCCGGAAGTTACAGGTGGTGGGTTGCAGGTACCTGATCATCTCCGCCATGGTGGGCTTCGTGATCCTGCCCATTTTACGAGGCGACCTCACGCACCGAACGCGATTCAATCGATGGGCTTGTTGCGCAACAACGGGAGCCGTCAAGTGACAAGCAGAAATGCGTGGTGACACCCCTTCAGCCACGGAATCCAATATGTTTGACTTGTCCACCCTCTTTCAGGATATGCCAAAATAATAGGTATACTGATTGGTCTCCTTGAATGGGGGAGTCGTACGTGTTTGGTTTCCCTTGCCAGTCCCAACAATCAAGTGCAAGACTCCCCGCAAACTCGTGACTCATGGTTTGGATAAGCCCACTTGCAACTAGTGTTGTGAATTTGACCTAGCTCTGGAATCCTTGCAGTCCGAGAATCCTGACGGGAGCCATTTGTTGAGCCCAGCTGGCTTCCTGGATTCTGCTATTCAAAGGGTGCAGAAGGTGGGATACTGTGGATGGACGAAATCCTGAACCAGCAAAGAAACCCTGGTTGCTGATGATTCCCCTGCAAACACCAACCAACAATGGTTTGCGGCGGTTTTAAAGCGTTGCGAAATGGATTTTGTGCATCCACAGTAGGTCATTTGAGGGATGCGAAACATGTTCGGGTTCCGCTGGGCCGATTTCCATCTGAACAAAGTCTCCAACTGGGCACCCCGAGCCGCCTTCAAGGATGAAGTCCTTCCAAGGGGCACTTGCAAGTACTTTCCCCTTTGAACCAAGCTGAAAGGGGTACCCTCAAATACACATCCCTTCTCTTTTGCCTATTTTTGTAGGGTTTGTTTGGAGTTCGCTCGCCATTTACCCCGACAGCCGCTGGTGTTCTTTCTGTTTCTTTGTGGGGGGGGTCCCTTCAAACTCAACTGGCCATGGGTCAAAATCCCGTACCCCCAGTGAACATCCCAATCCCCACTACAATAGACTAAAATGGGTGGTGAACCTACCCCAAAATGGTACCATTGGTGTTGACCCACAGCCAACTGCCAAAAGAGGAGTGCCCATTTTTGCCCATGGCCAGGGGGAGGTCTGAGGCAAACAAGAATGGGCCATACAGAATCTCGCACACGTGGCTGTGGGTCAAAACCAATGGTACCATTTTGGGGTCCCATTTTAGAACCTATTTTAGTGGGAATTGGGATGTTCACTAGGGGTACGGGATTTTAACCCATGGCCATGTCAGGTCACCAAAATGCATATGTTTTGGGACGCCGCCCCACACTCGGACCCAGATTTCTGTGCGAGCCTTCCTTGATCTCGATAGTGGCGCCTGCAACTTCGTTGTTGGGCGCTATCCTCCGTTTGGGGATTTCATTGATCAGTACTTTGGGTCTTCAATGAGTCCGAAATGAACACCCTACCTAAGATTGTTTGAGTCCGAAATGGACACCATACCGATGGTTTGTCACTATGGCACTTGTGCGTCAGTTGATTTGGTTGCTTTCCTCTCAGCTCATTCCCCGGCCAATTGAGCATAATTGAGCAGTGCCCACAACCTCCTCCGAAGCTCTAGGGATAATGGTGGGTCTGCTTCAATGTTTCCCCCCCGGACAGTGGAACCAGGCTATCAAAAGCGTACCCAATCAAATAAGCGGTTCTAACAATACCCAGTTGCGCAGTGACGCCCTTTTTGCTTTTTTAGAAGGGTGCCCCTTCAAATTCAACCATCCCAAGAAGGATTTCTTTTCTTTTTTTCGCCACTGGGCATGTAGCATTACTTCGCAATGTAAGTTGCCTGATACGCTTGGGTTCATTGACCCCTCCCAAAGCCTGGTTTCACGTCTTTCGAAACGGGGCGTTATTGGGGGGTTACCAGACCACAGCGGCTGTTTTGCTCGAGAAGGCCCTGAAAAGGCGTTCCATGTTTTGAGTTTTGACACTTTTGCATGTAAGCTTCAGAATCATCTTTTCCCAGCTTCGGATTTTCC